AAAACAATAGAATAAAGACACTCATGGTGTAAACAGTGCTTGCAGTTTCACATGTAGCTAACTGCAGTTTTAAGCATACAAGTAAACATTCAGAAATGGACACAATTTCAGAAACAAATAAATGCAAAACAAAATGATCGATAACTTTTGGCCACCAGGGGGCGTAACAAACCACTGAAATCGCTGAAGACTTTCTCAGCATTGTTGTTAGTAGGGCTGTAGATCTTTGGGTAGACAGCGACTCGATAGGTTTTCGATTCGATTCGAGAGCGATTTTTGCAAATTCAGAACGATTAAATTCGATTCGATTCACAATTAAATTCGATTCGATCCGATTAACGATTAGATTCTGCATTCTTTAAGTGCATTCACAGGATTATTTAAATGCTTCCCCTAAATTCTTTAAATGCTTAGTCAGGGGGCGAATTACACAACAGCCTTTATGGTTAGAGAACCATAGGTTAGAGAAGAAAAAAACACCTTTGTCCATTGTTAGATGCTAGTTTAATGATGCTATGACACGACATGGCATATGTAGAAATTTATGTACGCCAAGATTTTAAAAAAGAGCTTTAAAAGTATTATGTAGGCTAACATTTTGTCACACCAGGGGCGTAGCCATAATTTCAGAAGTGACAGAAATGTCAAATACAATACTTTTATGTATGTATGTATGTATGTATGTATGTATGTATTATTTATTTATTTTTTTTACAAGGAATTATTTTATTATCTCTTACTTTGAATTTGAATCAAATACTTATCTCTTACTTTGAATTTGCTATAAGAAATCAAATACACTGCTGGACAATAATCATAATTTGTAATATATAATTTTTTCCTAATTGCAATTTTAGGATTGTTTTATATACAAACGATCATTTCCATTTTCTGCACAGAATAAGGTAAAATATATATATATACTTTATAGTTTCTGTACTGTAATAAATTATATGTCAATTAGCAATGCATCATTCATAAATTGTATTTATTTATTTATTTATTGTGTTTATTGTCTTAACGTTTCAGTTCATTCTGTTTTTTATACAGTTTAGCTGCAGATATAGCCTGGAACGTCTATGAGCGCGAGATCACTTCTCTTTCAGTGCGAAAACTTC